GGCTGTCGATTCGGTTCCCATGAAGCTATTTTGGATTTGTGCTCTCTTCAGAAAGATGGTTCAAAGAATAAATATGTCTGTATCGGATTTTCTTTCTATACTGGTTATAATGATAACACCGTTAAAAAAGCAAATGAGAAGAAATATTATATTAATGAGAAGATAATTCGAAGAACTAATAAGATGTAGGAGGAACCTTGAAATAGAAGTTCCAATCAAATGCAGCAAATCAAAGTTTTGCCATTTAGCTTAGAATAAGAACTGCACAACTTGGACCTAGGAATATTAATGGAAACTAACAATAACCATTATCACATTTAATTCAAATCTAAAACACAAGTTTGTACATCACATGGATTAGTTAATAAGCGATTTACCATGTCTTAACACAATTTTAGATTAATCAATGTTATATTGCACTCGCATGGTTTTTCAAATAAGAAATTGACACTTGATGCATTTTTAATGATTTTCAAAGGCTTGATATCATTTTAATTTGATAGGAACAATAACAAATTTTTAAGTCTGCAATTTTAAATTTTGATTGTAATCAATTATTCCTGTTAGTACGGCCTTTATTTACATGAAAAACGATTTTTCGAGTAGTTTGAAATTTGTCATCCTATTCATCTGGTTTCCATTCCATAATAGGCCCTCCAGTAATCCGTCGGTTCTGATTGGATTTCCATAGGTTTGCATCCATAGTAGTTTCTAGGATTTTTCTCCGAGCTATTAGAGTAAGTTCTTATGCATAATAAATATACAATAATTAGTTTATTTGCCCGATTTAAAACAAAAAAAGTTCAAGCTCTGCCACTAGAGAAATTATTGCATACGGACACCACATGCATCTCTGCATGCGGTGTCCGATCCTGACCGTAAATCACGGTGATCTATGGTCATGATATATTTTAGTTTTTTTTTTTTAAAAAAAAATTTTAGGTGAGGCCCACCGAAATACAGGATGACCGTAGATCGTCTGATCTACGGTCAGGATCAGACACCGCATGCAGAGATGCATGCGGTGTCCGTCCGTATGCAATAATTTTTCTGCCACTACAAGCAGATGTTGTGGACATGGCAGTTTCTCTAACTATTGCTTGCGCAATTTTCTATCATCTTATTTCACGTTTATAAATTTGGGTAATATAACAATTTCTTCTATGATTTAATAAAATTTGCTTTTGGATGTCAAAAAAATTCTTCGCTTCTTACGATTATAGTTCTTGGTAAAGTGTGAGACATAAGAATTTTGAGGGAGGTTATTTGACCATTTAAATGTGAGGAATGCTATATGAACCGAGCTGAGCCGAGTTGACCAGAGCTATGTTCATGCTTGAGTTTGTTCATTAAATTTTCTAGTCAAATTAATGAGTAATATCATTGAACTACTTATTTTCTAATATAACGAGCTTCATCAAGCTTATGAAGTAATTATTTGATTACAAAAACAAACAAACCTTTAAATGAATGAACTATTAAATGAATATCTAAAAAGGGTATACTTAGGCTAGAAGAGGAAGATTGATTTCAGTTTTGGTTAAAATAAGCATACTTCAGTAATTATTTGATTACAAAATAAGTTTAGCCCTTGTAATGTTAATAGAAAATTTTATTAAATTAAAACTTTTGGTTAGAATTTCCTAATGGAGGGGAATAAAAGAAGACGAAGTGTGCAAGTTAGAAGAGAATAAAAATTGACCTGAACAAACTTCGATGAGGAAAATTTAGGATTATATTATAAATTAATTAATGAATTTTAATAGCATAATAAAGTTAATTAGGATTTTAAAAGTAAAAATGATGGAAATTAATACTTAATTAATGTTAAGTTAATAAATAATAAATATAATAAATAAATTAAATTTTAGTAATATGTATACCATATTTATTTTAGAGTTAAATGAAAATTTATCACTCAATAGGACAAAATGAAAAAAAAAGATTCATGTAGCCGCCCCGACTAAGTAGGATAAAGGCTTATTATTGTTGTTGTTGAATATCATGTTTATTTTAGGCTTTAAATTTTAGAAGACGACATTAAAACAAATCAAATAACAAATTAATCAACTTCGACGTGAGTGCTCGTACTTCAATCTATGATTGATATGTTCTCTTATTTATTGGAGACGTTATTATGAATGTTATATATTTGAAGCTATTTACTATAATGTTATATAT